GAGACTTAATCATTTTATAAATGGCCATATAATTTAAACTTTTCAATGTTTTTACAATTCAGGATGGCTTTTAATTTGGACATACTTTCTGCATAGATGTTCAGATCAACGTGACCTTCCGGTAACTGTGTTACAGTATTATAATTAGATAGAAAGCTATCAAGTGATGTTTCAATGCATGCTTATTCCCAAAGGAGATACTACTTTAATAACACATTTTCTAGGAAAACTTCAAGTATAAAGATAGGAAAGACAATTAACTTATTCATGTAGAGTTTCTATTTAAGACTAGATGAGTCTCCAAGGAACAAAAGCATGAAAGAAAATTTATGTGTGAATGTGTAAACATGCCTTTAGTAAAATGAAAAACACAAAAATAGTAACAAAAATAAATAAAACCAAGATAACCAAACAAAAGTTCACCCTAAATTCTGGTCTTTAAAAAACAAATAGAAAAGTTTTTATGTTTCAAAACACACAGCAAAACCTAGACCCATACATCTGAAAGACCACCACAGGGTAACTTGGATCATCCCTTGCCCACCTAAAAAATCCTGTTACTTAATAATCTTAAAACAGCCATGAACCACCTTCTTTGTAAATTGTAAGGTTCTTTCAATAATCTAGAATCTCACAATCTTCATGTGGTAGTGATTCTATATAGCAATAATTTTTAATTTGGGTCTTTGATTCTCTTTCAGGATTCAGAGTCTTCTATTAAGAACAAATTCAAGGGTCAGCTGTTGGTATGATGGTTAAAGTGTCCAGATCACACAGAGGCAACAGCATGGTTTGAATCCCAGATCCAGTGGCTTAAAAAACAAGTTGGGTGATTGTGTGTGTATGCTCAAAATCCTGAGAGGAGAATGGAAAAGGGAATGTGGCACGGCCATTCGCCTCAGGGTGGGTTGGGAGAGGTAGGGGGGTGCTTTCTCATTTTCTCTTTGGCTAGCACATTGTCCTATAACAATTTTTTTAATAAAAAAAAATGTGCTTTTCTTCTGTGATTTATAGTCTAACACAAGATCTGTAGTGCTTTGAAACAAAACATCTGGTTTTACATCAGTTCATTTTTGCAACTCTTCCAGTCTCTCAGAAGGCATTTGCCTGAAGTACTAAAGGCTAAGCACTGATTCCTAATCTATCACTATTAAAGATGTGCTTTTCACGGGCACTAGATACAGATCTCTTTCAGCATGTGTTATGGCTACTGCTTAGACGCAGGTTCCTAGCCTTGTCACTCCGTGTCACGGTGCCCTTGGCTCTGCTGCCCTATTTGCCATCCGGCAGAATGCCTAAATCTAAGTCACCCAGGTCTGTGCTGAGTGCACCAGCTAACAACCTGGATATCTTGGTTTTTGCTTGGTAAGGACAGTGTTAGGAATACAGCTGGCTGAGATTAAGGCTATAACACAGAAAGTGCTGAGAGAGTGTGAACAGCTCAGTGGATGTCACATTCTAATTAGGATGAGATTCAAAAATTCCACTCAATAGTCAATACTTAGTGTCTGAATTGTTCTGATTATCAAGTAGATAATACAACAAAAATAATTTCTATGTCCACATTTCTTTCTCATTTATAGGGTAACTGAGGTTTGACATATATTTTATATATACATAATATATAAAATATATATATATTTCCAATGAGTCAATATTAACATATATATACCTAATAAACTGAAAAAAAAACACTGCTAGATCCCATGTTCTCAAGTATGAACATAATAATCCATATTAAAATATTTTCCAATGCCTAACAGTGTGTGGAATGAGAGAATGAATAAAATAATGTTAAATCTGAAATTAATCATCAGTCAGTGTTCACTGGCAAAACAAAATTAAGAGCAACAGAGAAAAGAAAAAGAGCTACAGTCATCAATTATATCAGAAAATTCCCTTGTATATCTCAGGTAATTGTAAATATTTAATAAATTCCATTTTCTATGTGAGGAAATGTTAATTTTTTATTAACATCTTACCAAAAAAGGGACTGATTTTTACTGATTATTCACCGATTTTTAAATAGGAGGAGGCAACTATCTGTGACAATGGAAAAATTATGAAAACTACCAGAAAAGGCTATATTTGTCACATCAAAAATCACCTTTGATCAAGAAATGTACAGTAAAGACCGAACACGGGAGCTCTCCATGTATGTAAGAATAATTTAGGAGAAAATGGCATTTGCTAAAGCTCCTGCAAAAGCAACTAACTTTTAAAGTAAAACTATGCTACCATTTTTAAAAAAATGAGCTTTTCATTAGGAATTGTAGGCATAGTTTCACTTGTTTTCTACATAAGCGATTGGCAACAGAAAAGAGTTTAGCATATGAACAACTAAACCAGACCAATAAACAACTAGCAGACAATTTACAGTAGAATCAACTGATTAACAAAAAAAAAAAAAGTCCCACAACAGTAGTATATTTATTGTGCTGAAATCAGGTAGCAGGGAGTGAGCAGCTCTGGGAACCAGTACAGAACGTTCACAAAGATTTACAAATCTCTAGTCATTACACACGCAGCAGCAAAAACAAAGGTGTCGAATCCTCTTAGACCAAACTACTTTATGTGTGGCAAATGTTCTGTCATTCTCATGACTGCATGCCTTTGGGAAAAAAATAGGTCATTTTAATGCACAATAAATATTTTATAGATTACAAACTGGTATGAAAGTCTGTCTATACAAAGAGCATACATCCTGCTCATGCGGTTCGGACGTGTTGTTGAGACACTTAGAAGTAGTCATGCTTTTGGGGTCGCATTTTCTTTCCTATAATGATCCCTGTGCAACATCTCCTAATAAGTTAACCTATGTAAATAAAACATGGTACCAGTTATCTTTCCTACTTTATTTCCAGTTGTTCATTTACAGTATATGAAATACTTCATCTGTGAATAGCAAATTTCATTTTCTAGTTCTGGTTATTCTCCTTTTCATTCATTTTGTGTTTTAACAATTAACACCTTGTAACATCAAGCCCTCAGTCTAACCATCTTTAGCACCAAGGAGTCAAGAATATTGCACCAAAATGGGTTCGCACTTCATAGCTAGTTCATAAATAAGATCTTGCAACTTAGTCACAAGGAAACTATCACTCCAAAATTAAACACATTGGAAGAGAAGGATAGTTTCACAGAAATGTTTGGTGTATGCTATTTGTGAAAAACCAAAAAAAATTATGGACGAGTGGATTAGGAAGTTCATATTAAAATTTACATTAGAGGACTCCTTGATTTTTTTTAATTAAAATTTATTTAATTTTAAATGTTCTTTCCAACAGAAGAGGTAGGTATATTTCCACATATGAAAAAAATCAGTAACAGCCACAAATCAAAACAAGGAAAGCCTGATAAAAATCAACATACTCTCTTCTAACAGCACAGAAATGTAACTACCTAAGGATGGTACTAATAAAGACATGAGTTGTTTCTTGTTCCAATCAGACAGTAATCTTAATGTTCATAATGCATTTCTGCTAGTAATAGGAGTATTCAAAGGCTGCCTTTTCATCATAAACATTGTTTCCCACAGTGATTTGTGCTGCGAGCCATCATGCCCTCTGAGTCATCGGACAGGATTTTACTGTAATTCTTGGTTATTTTCACCAACACCATCATCATCAAGCCTCTTAGATTCTATAGAGATCAGAAGATTTTATCATTTTAATTACAACCAAAAGGGTATATTCTGACTAGAGGAGGAGAGGTTTGACCATTCTGGTCAGCAAATGACTTCAAATGTGCCAATTCAAACATATTCCCATGTCGAGCTCTGGATAAGAAAAGTGTAACTGATTTTAGTCTGTAGGTATCAGTAAATGACCCAAAAAAAATTCATAAAGACTGTATTTCTGTCATTGTCTAAAATTCAGACTGAAAAATGAGTGAGTGTAAGATACATGAAAAATTGCATCCATTAGACAGGTGGATGTGAGCAGAGGGAGTCTCCAAAGTCACAGAATGATTGCTTTGGTCTGGACATCAAGGCTAATTTAAAAAAAAAAAAAATCTTTAAAATAAAAACTTCATAAATAAAACATCTGGGTATTGTATTTAACACTTAACTCAGTCTAAAGGTTACATAGACCACATTTGCCTTTTCTCCCCACCCTAAGCCCTCTATGCTTCTGTTTTCCCTGAAATTTTCTATGACATGGGAGTTTCCTCACTGTCAACAACAGTGAAGACCCAGTTCATTTTACTCTCCTTTTGCTTTTCCATTTTTCTGCTTTTTTCCATTTTCTATCACTAGCTGTTTTTCGGATTTGTTCACACCATTTGCTGAAATACCATTCATGGCTGTTTTTCCAGTTTTTGATTTCTTAGGCTCGTTGTATGTCCGAACGTAGAAGTTGAGAAAGAGAAAGATGAAGCTGATGGCGTAGGCAATTAGAGCCCAGTGCATCCATTTGGGGAAGGGGCAATCCGTGTAGAGAGACAGAGCTGTGTGCCCAATGGTCACATGGAACTGAACCTGGAAGATAACAACAGTGCGTGGTACGTTTTTTTAAAAAGCAGTCACAGGTTGCATCGTTCTTATTTTATTAAAGAATTATTATTTTAATTTATTCATTTATTTTAATTTGACCATAGAGCTACAGAAAGAGACAGAGAAAAGAGAGGGAAGTGAGAAAGCAGGCTGCCAGGTCCGGGACTCAAACTGCAGTCAGCCATGTGTACTCTAACACCTTAACCACCATGCCACCTCGAGGCACTAAAACATTTCATCTGATTAGTAAAAGACTGTACCATCAGAATCTCCTGCATAACTACCATAAGCCTAAATTTTGTCACATGTTCAGAGTTTAATAGTTTCCTGGCTCCCGTGTCTGGCTTTAAGTCACAACTCAAATGCCACTGTCTCCACCAGGGCAGACTCCTGGCAACTTTAGCTGGCCCAATCTTGCAAATCAAAGGACTTTTTGTGACCTGTTTGTTTAAAGAACAATTATAACTAACTGATATTGTCTTTTGTACTTGTTGAAGTTGATTTTACTGTAATTCTTGGTTATTTTCACCAACACCATCATCATCAAGCCTCTTAGATTCTATAGAGATCAGAAGATTTTATCATTTTAATTACAACCAAAAGGGTATATTCTGACTAGAGGAGGAGAGGTTTGACCATTCTGGTCAGCAAATGACTTCAAATGTGCCAATTCAAACATATTCCCATGTCGAGCTCTGGATAAGAAAAGTGTAACTGATTTTAGTCTGTAGGTATCAGTAAATGATCCAAAAAAATTCATAAAGACTGTATTTCTGTCATTGTCTAAAATTCAGACTGAAAAATGAGTGAGTGTAAGATACATGAAAAATTGCATCCATTAGACAGGTGGATGTGAGCAGAGGGAGTCTCCAAAGTCACAGAATGATTGCTTTGGTCTGGACATCAAGGCTAATTTAAAAAAAAAAAAAATCTTTAAAATAAAAACTTCATAAATAAAACATCTGGGTATTGTATTTAACACTTAACTCAGTCTAAAGGTTACATAGACCACATTTGCCTTTTCTCCCCACCCTAAGCCCTCTATGCTTCTGTTTTCCCTGAAATTTTCTATGACATGGGAGTTTCCTCACTGTCAACAACAGTGAAGACCCAGTTCATTTTACTCTCCTTTTGCTTTTCCATTTTTCTGCTTTTTTCCATTTTCTATCACTAGCTGTTTTTCGGATTTGTTCACACCATTTGCTGAAATACCATTCATGGCTGTTTTTCCAGTTTTTGATTTCTTAGGCTCGTTGTATGTCCGAACGTAGAAGTTGAGAAAGAGAAAGATGAAGCTGATGGCGTAGGCAATTAGAGCCCAGTGCATCCATTTGGGGAAGGGGCAATCCGTGTAGAGAGACAGAGCTGTGTGCCCAATGGTCACATGGAACTGAACCTGGAAGATAACAACAGTGCGTGGTACGTTTTTTTAAAAAGCAGTCACAGGTTGCATCGTTCTTATTTTATTAAAGAATTATTATTTTAATTTATTCATTTATTTTAATTTGACCATAGAGCTACAGAAAGAGACAGAGAAAAGAGAGGGAAGTGAGAAAGCAGGCTGCCAGGTCCGGGACTCAAACTGCAGTCAGCCATGTGTACTCTAACACCTTAACCACCATGCCACCTCGAGGCACTAAAACATTTCATCTGATTAGTAAAAGACTGTACCATCAGAATCTCCTGCATAACTACCATAAGCCTAAATTTTGTCACATGTTCAGAGTTTAATAGTTTCCTGGCTCCCGTGTCTGGCTTTAAGTCACAACTCAAATGCCACTGTCTCCACCAGGGCAGACTCCTGGCAACTTTAGCTGGCCCAATCTTGCAAATCAAAGGACTTTTTGTGACCTGTTTGTTTAAAGAACAATTATAACTAACTGATATTGTCTTTTGTACTTGTTGAAGTTTTTAGTGTCTTTCCTCTAGAGTATACCTCCAGAAGGTAGGGCTTTGTCTTGCTCATTGATGATTCCTGAGTCCCTGGCTCAGTATCCAGACTCAAAGAATATTTGCTGAATATTATTACCTGATGAGAGGAAAGCAATGACCTAGAAAAGTAAACTAATAGTAATACAGACTTCTCAATTTTGTTTCCATCCAGCATCTTACACTGATTTCCTTTCACTTAATTGTCAGCAAGCAGGTACATACACTTGCAAAAGTGAACTTACCAAATGACTCATTGTATCTTATGTATAAGAAACAGGTGAATTTGCCTAAGAATGAGCACTATCCTTCAAAAATAAATATTTTTATGTTGAAATTTTTAACTTAAAAAAATAGATATTTGAGAATAAGTGGAAAAAGAACCATTTTCAACTTTAACAGTTTTTACAAGGAAAAAAGCTAAAATTTAGATGCTTAAAATGAAATAACTTTAAATTCTGACATATCAGTAAATAAATGGTTCATGATGTAAGAATTACGAATTTTCTGGTATTAACAGGGTTATATTTTTACAGGAACTACTGCCTGGCTTAGAAATACAAATTCAATGTACTATTTGGAAGAGGCAACTGCAGTTTCTCATTTATTTATTTATTTATTTTGAGAGGTTTTTGCTATAGGGTGCGTGCATTCACCAGAAAGACAGAGACAGACAGAGAGACAGAAAGTGAGAAATCACCTCCACCCCCAGGGTGGATGGCCACACTGCAATCCCTTCTCCTCTATTCTCCTCTTGGGATCTTGGACACGCACGCACATGCACCCAGCATGAGTTTAAGCCACCAGGTCCGCGACTTGAGCCATGGTTGACTACATGGGAGTCCAGTGACATAACCATTACATCAACTGCTGATCCCAGCAGTTTCTCTTTTAATAACTGGATTATCGATATTACTTATTATATTAACTATTATTGAAATAATTTAGTCTAAGTAAGCCAGAAATTTATATTGTATTAAACAACTTTTACTATTTTCTATGACAAAAATCCAAATTTAATTTTGGTTTCACAATGGTTCTTAGAACTTGCATCACCAAAAAAGGGTGTGCCTATAAGGGTGTGATTAAGTATAGCGCTCCCCACGGAGAGCCAGAGACAGGCTCCAGCAAAAGAAATGTAAGTAACTCACATAATTTTGGTCACCTCTCCATTTTCTAGGAACCATTTACTAATGACTGAAATGAATTACACAAGCTGTATAAACAGCTTTACACAAAAACTAGAGGAAGCTTCCGGTTACATTTTAGTTAAAGATGAATCCTTCACACCCAGCATTCCCCAAGAGTTGTCTTTCCTGTTTGGTTTGCCAGCTGTTTAGCAAGTGAGAGAGGGATGATATTTCCAAATGTGATTCCACTGATAAAACTGTGTACACACTATGATTAAAGCAATTATAAGACATTCTAAAGCTTGAAGAATAGCTACGATGTTGGTTTTGGATTTTTGGTTTGATGACAAGCTAAGGCCTAGCTCTGTGTCACACCGACACATGCACCCAGATGCTGCAGCAAGTCCAACTAAGGGAATGTGCTGAAAACTGCCTAGTCTGAAGACTGGCATGTGACCATCTCCAACTCTGCTCTCCAAAGACAGTGTTTTAGAGAATTAGAGGCACTCTCTGGTCCTTATTCTTTCCCTTTACTCCGTCCCTACCTTGACTTTGCCTTCTTTTCAACTTTATATACTCAATGCATGGGATCTGTTAATAAGGACTGAAAATGGAGCAAAAAATAGAAAGCTTAAGCAAGGACAAGAAGAAGGAAGGTAACAGAATTTTAAATGAAAATTAGTCGCCAAAGGAAATAAATTATGATATGTTCTTGTCCTATGTGAATCTGTGTACCTTTTGATAAATTTAGATCTTTAACTATCCATTCCACAGATTTTTTTTAAGATTTTTTTTCTCTTAGAGGAACATGTGCTATGTCTTGTCTTATCAGGGCTTTATAAAAGAAAGTGGTCGTGACCTGTAAGTCTAGGAATAGGGGGGTTAAGGCCAAGCAGCCTTGACTGCAATAATCGAGGATAGTGAACTGCGTAGGAGAAAACTATCTAAAACTACTTGGCACTTTACAGTAAAGAAAACTCAAACATTTTCAGTTTTTCACCAGAAGAAACTTGAGAAGCATTTAACTCACCAGCTGCAACATGGTCAGGTATCGTTTCCACCAAAGGTACTTCTGAATCCATGGGCCAAAGGCAGTCAACCCGTAGTATGAGTACATAATCACATGTATGAAGGAATTCATCTGGGCTCCAAAAAATGCTTTAGAAAAACGAAAATAATAGCAAGATACAGAAAATGTTATTAGGTAAGACATCACTGAGATATAAAATCAGTCTATACTATTTTTTTAACATTTAATTGAGTCTAGGAATAAAATACCTAAAAGTAGTACTAATAAAAAGTCTTCCCTTCGGATTAAGCTAGATATTTTAGACTTGAGGTTTCACCATATAAATAAAAATGTACGCTGTTCAAATGTAAAAAATGTTCGAAGTGGTAAGTTTTTGAATGGGATACTCCAGTCAGCTTAGTAGGCCTAATACAGAACTATTGTCTGTATTATTTATTTTTATTATTCTTATGGGGAAAAGATTATGGTACATGAAAGTGTTCAAATAGATTTGTAAATGTTCTATTATTGCCTTTAAATGTACTAACATAACTACAACAAAACAACTCTTATTTCTTCTCCCTGGGGGGTGATTTCTCGCTTTCTGTCTCTATGTCTCTCTCTGTCTGTCTGGCGAGCGCACGCGCCCTACAGTGAAAACCTCTCAAAAAAAAAAAAAAAAAAACCTCTTATTTCTTAAGTTACTAAATATAGCTCTGTGAAAACCTCTCAAAAAAAAAAAAAAAACAAAAAAAAACTCTTATTTCTTAAGTTACTAAATATATCTGTCCTTTCCCCACCCCCACCCCCATACACTGGGGATACATTTCAAGACCACTCAAATGATGCTTGAAGTTACAGATAGTACCAAATCCTCCACACACTATGCTTTTACCTATACATTTATAGTTATAATAAACTTTAATTTATTTATTCGGCCTAGTATTCTCTTGCTATGGGGCCATTATTAAGTAAAACAAGGCTTACTTGAACACAAGCATTGTGATACCAAGTTGTTTACTAAGTGATTAACTGGAGGGTAGCCTACACAGTATGGGCACCATGAACAGAGGGATGAATCATGTCCTGGGTGGGACAGGGTAGAATGGCATGCAATTTAAAACTTGGGAGTTACTTATTTCTGGAATTTTCTATTCGGTATTTCTGGACTACAGTTGACCATAGGTAACAAACAGTGAAAAGCAAAGGAGGACAGGAATAGCTCTACAGAGTTATTCCAGTCTAATTCAATGACATTCTTTCTCTTCAGACTATTCAATCAAAGTATAGATATAATTATAGCAAATTTTGTCATAAAGTGATTTATTCATTTTCTTTTTAAATCATACAGTTTTACTTTAACTTATTGTTTTAAATTCTGTCTCGAACAATACTTTATAGGTGCAAATTCTCAGCTGTCAGTTACTGAAACATGACAATGGAGAACAGAAGGCCACGCTGCACTATAATGACCTGAACCCTGGGTCCTCACTAGACGAATGGCCTTTCTAGTTCAACAGGTGAATCACCCTTACTTGACAGGCAACAGAAAAGACTAGGGGTAGATCTTGGCCAGGCTGCAAATTCAGACCCTCTTTAACATTAACAAGGCTATATAAATTTTCCTTTGAATAAGAACCAACAAGATCGAGACCAATAGATAGCATAAAGGTTACGTTGCTGGACTCCCACGTAGTCGACTGTGGTTTGAGTCTTGGACCTAGTGGTTTAAACGCATGCTAGGTGTGTGTGCATGTGTGCCCAAAATCGTGAGAGGAGAATGGAGGAGAAGGGATTGTGGTGTGGCCATCCCCTCTGCGAGTGTTTTCTCATTTTCTATCTCTCTGCCTCTCTCTGTCTCTCTGGTGAGGGCACGCACCCTACAGTAAAAATCTCTCTCTTAAAAAAAAAAAAATCAACAAGATCATTTAAGGCCTATATTAGTAGGCCTGACCTGGGGCTACACTGAAGATAGAATCTTTAGAGTGAGAGCAGTTGTCTTGGTATCCTGGTAGCCTTTGAACCTGCTTTTGCAACTCTTCCTCATCAAAGTATTATTGTCTACATTTAGGTTTGGTTTATGCTTACCTCTGGGGGCAAATCTTTAGGTGTTAAAGCAGTGATAAAAAGTTAGAATTTACCTTCTTCAATTTTTTAAAAAGTAAAATGAATACAGAAATGATTCACAATGAAAGCAAGTTAAATGATAAACCAGGAGTCAAATTTCCTGGTTCTACTTTCCACCCAACACATTTTCATCATTTAACACAAGCAAATATGTTTCTGAAACTGCTCACCTTGTCCCCCTGCGACCCATTTAATTCCTATCCACCACAATGTAAACATGGTACAGTGATGGTATACGTGAAGGAAAGAAACTTGGTTGTTTTTCTTCCTTAGGATAAAAAACACTGTGTCCAAATACTCAACACCTTTCGATACAAAGTACCACCACAGCGCTGCAGCTATCTGTGAAAAGAAAGGGAACGTATGTTGTAAACACTAAGATATTACTACTTGTAAATAAGCCTAAAAGAATTTTCACTACACAGAATGTACATGGCATGGAATGATTTTTGCTCTGAAACCTAAGCCTCTATCTGTGGGGAAAATTTTCAATGGAAAATAAATAGTCTAAAGCTGTATCTACAGAGTGCCAATAATTTAAAGAAAATGTTCAGTCTGCTACATGGATGGATGTCACTCAGCACCAAACTCAGAGCCAAGGAACCAGCAGTTAGCACAATGGCTATGTAGCTGGACTCCCATGTAGTCAACCACGGTTTGAGTCCTGGACCCGGTGGCTTAAACTCATGCTGGGCGCGTGTGCATGCGTGCCCAAGATCCCCAGAGGAGAATGGAGGAGAAGGGAATGTGGCATGATCGTCCCCCGAGGGGAGTGATTTCTCACTTTCTGTCTCTCTGTCTCTCTCTGTCTTCCTGGCGAGCATATGCGCCCTGTAGTAAAAACCTCTCCAAAAAAGAAAAAAAAAAAACCTGACAGAGTCATGTACAGAGCTATAAACACACTGATACCCCTATACTTTTCAATCTGGTAGGGAAGCTGCGATGTTACTTTGTAAAAATATTTTGGCTACATATACTTAAACTTGCAGGCCCTTTCTCTAGTTTGAAGGGTCTCTGTCAGCATGTCTCTCACCTTAACATGTTCAACAGAGTAAATATCCAAACAGAGCAGTTTGTATCAGGAAATGAAATTTTCTTAACAATAAATTGAAACAAACCAAAACAACCAATATTTCCTAGGTCATAAAAATAATCCTGCTTACATGAATAAGTCTTTTCTTTTCCTGAGCTCTAATTAAGACACCATATGGTGCAGAAAGATTACATTACATGCAGAGATTAAGGATCCAGTAAGAGGTGACCTCTGCATATACATTTTGCTTTGTTTTTAATTTATCAGAGTTTAATTAAGCAAAAACGATCTGCTAATCAGGCAGCCCCCAGAATGGCTTCCAAGGAATTCCCTGTATACATGTTTTTAAATATTTGACAGGAATCCTATTGTAACAGTAACCAAACATAAACTCTTTGAAGTCAAGTGTTTTTGTTTTTGTTTTATGATAACACTCTATGTACAAATAACGAATAAGGCAGGTACATAACTGAAATCTATCTATAAACCCTCATGTGTTAGAGGCATGACCAATTCATACACAGAGAGGTTCGGGTGTTTTAAATATCCCAACCCCTTTCTCATTTTATACCCATATCTGTGCATATCATGGGGATTTTGTTCGTTTGAGTTTTTTCAAAAGTGAAGTGTGAGGAAAGAAAAAGACAAAATTTAAAATACAAAGTCTAATGTATTTCCAGGTCGATTATTATTTACTGAGCTTGTTTGAATAATAATACTGTTGAAAATGATGAGGTTTGTTGACAACAGACTTGAGCTATTGCGAGTTAACTACTGACAACAGCACTATTACATTATGACTTTGAAATAAAGTAATGATCACTATGTTAGAATAGCAACCTTAATCTAGAAGAGATACACATCTCATTCCCCATCTGGGCCTCTAAACCAACCATGGTTCACAAAACACTAAATAGTTCCTACAACTATGTTAGCTATCTTTGAATAGGCTATATATCAAAGAGAGAGGGATTCTTCTTGGTTATATAACTCTCCAAAAATGAGCCTCTGAGTGGAAGACTCATTCTATTGCATTCAACATTAAGAGGAGAGGCGAGCCGGAAGGAGTCATCAAATGCAATCTGTTGCAAATCTCAGGGGTCTTTTCTCCTCCTAGACTACAGTCCTCACGATAGCTTGTATTTTTAAAAAGAACTGAAAGTTTATGCTTGTCAGGAGGTAGACTCACAATTATCAAAGTGGTATTCTTGAACCTTTACCCTAAAAACATGTTGCCTTATCCAAGGGTTTTGTCCTAAGCACACTCCCAGAAGAAAGCTTGCCAAACACTTCTCCCTTTTCCTTCCTCCAAAATAAGCAAGAAAAGTCAGCTCTCCGCCGAGGAGATATTTCTGGCAATATGGTCATCAGATGAAAGTTTCTCCCTTACTAATAAATGTAAATAAAGTAGCCTCCCCTCGGTCTCTCTCAGTCATGGGGTTTCTTTTCTTTTAAACCATCTGTTATGTGATTACTGTCTGCCTTCCCTCCCTCAATGGCCTGCTGGCTCCAGGAAGGCAGGGCCCTCATCTGACTTTTCACCTCTGGGTCTCCTGTGCCCCACACAATGTCTGCATAGAACAGATACTTGATATATAGTGCCTGAATGAATGACATGGTGATTTCTCATCAGTCTGAACGTCTAACAGGGAAATGATGATATAGTCATAAGAATAAGCACATTGAAGCAATCCGATCTCAGGTCTTGAGGAATACCTGTCTGACCCCCATGCCAGAGAGCTATTTTTCTCAAGGGAGGCTGCTACAGTCTATATTATTACAATGTTTCATATTATATGTAGTTTTTGTTTGTTTGTTTGTTTGAGATTTTTTTTTGCTATGGGATGTGTGCTTCACCAGTCAGAAAGAGAGAAAGTGAGAAACCACCACCACCCCCCAAGGAAATGGCCATGCCACATTCCCTCCTCTTCTATTCTTCTCTTGGGATTTTGGGCATGCACACACTTGTACCCAGCGAGTCTGGGACTTAAACCAGTCAGCCATAGAGGAGTCCAGCTCCTTAACCACTGTACCACCTGCTGGCCTCACTCAGACTTTCTTAACAATAGAGTTAGACTCTTTTTATGATTTTCAGTTCTTGACAGAAACAACTGAAATATAACATAATATCTTTACCTGCACCCTCCTTTATTTATTTTTTAAAAAATGGGGGGCAGGGCCAGCAGTTGACGTAATGGCCATGTTGCTGGACTCCCACGTACTCTACCGCGGTTCAAGTCCCAGGCCCGGTGGCTTAAACTCACGCTGGGCACGTGGGACTTGATCCCAAGAGGAGAATGGAGGAGAAGGGATTGTGGCGTGACCATCCCCCCTGGGGGTGGTTTCTCGCTTTCTGTCTCTCTGTCTCTCTCTGTCTGTCTGGCGAGTGCATGCGCCCTGTAGCAAAAACCTCTCCAAAGAAAAAAAAAAGGGGGGCACTGCATCCTGGTAATCTAGTACATATTTAATCTTGCACCACCAAATAAAAGAACACAGTGTAGGTATAAAAACAAATTTTCAATTATTTACTTTTAAATTGAAAGCATAGCTTTACCGACTCAAAACAAACCAGTATAATTTTACTACGATAGTAACATATGTTTTCCACTGACTAGGGCCTATAAATTACTTCCACTGATTAACAATATTCTTAATGTACTTACTCTGACTTCATGAACATTATTAGAGTAATCCACACTCTGGCAAATGTAGCTATATCCTGCATTATATGATCCCATGAATAACTGAGGAAAAAAAGAAATAATATGTGGTGGAGTAAGTTTTAGTAGATACATCATTAAAAACAAATATTATAGAATTTTTCAAATTATTTTAGAAGAAATATTTTCTTTTAAAAACCACATGTAACTTTTGGACTGAGATATCAACTCTATTTGCTTTGTAGAAATAAAAGAAATGTCTATTACCATGACTCAGATCTAAGAGTTGTCTTGCCTTAACTGGTTTTTGTTCTTGATCCAGAGTGGCCTATAGCTAACAAATTAGATAAAGGTATCCAAATAAATTAAATGAAAGTTTTTATCAAGTTCATACTTTATATGCTATGTTGTCCATGAAAGTTTTTTGTAAAATAAGAGTTACCGTTCACTTTTCAAGCATAATTAGTCAGTTCTCTGGGATCATTTAGAAGTTTAATGAGTTTTAGGAAAGAAATTCCTTACACGTGGCAGCTTAAAACATGGCTATGTCAGGGGAGCTTTAGGGTTATCTTTCAAAATGTCATGGAGGATTTGCTGGTGCCCAGGAAAGTACACAATAATTAATAGCAAGTCATGTGATAATTAATTCATTTTAGCTCCAATCCCAAATACAATAACATTATGTAACAGGACTGAACTTGAAATCAGTATTCACATCTGCATATTTTGATGGGTTACCAAACCTGAAACTGCTGAATCAGAATCATAAATTAGTAGTTTCTACTACTCGGTAGCTTCTTACTATATGCCAAATACTATACAAAAATTATCTTACTAAATTCTGATGATAACCTTAGAGAGTAGGTATTTTCCCTCTTATAGATGGAGAAAATGAGGCTATATTAAATAACTTCCCGTGTAGGAAGAGCTAATAAAGATCATTTTAGAATCCAATCTGTCTGATTCAAAATCCCATTTTAAATTTACAACTCTGTCCAATACTTTGTTTCATATCTTTGTTATCCCAAAACAAAACATGTAAAAAATGTACAAAGATGGTTTTACATGTTTTCATTTTTAAATTTCCAATAACTCTCGAAAATTATTATAGAGTAACTTTAATAAACCTACCTCTCTGAAGATAAAAAGGTTAAGCAAAACCATCCCAAAATTATAGATGATGAGTACTAAGCGCATCTGAAAAGGTTCTCGATCCTTCATCCATTTTGGACCCAGCCACACGAACAGGAGATAAAGAGTACTAATACTTATTGTAGGCCATGGAGACTGCATCAGCGGCCAATTTTCCACACGTTTATCTAGAAAGAACAAATAACATAAAATTCATTAGACAATAAATGTTTTATAAGGTGATTTTTTTTGGAATTACAAGTTTTTCAACTTAATTTACTAATTGGACCAAGGGCAGGTCACTGTCCCTTGAGTCAGGATAAAAATACATGGCATAAAAACCAAAGATACAAGACTGATTATGGCAAATAGCTTTTGAAAATTAAGTTTAATTACTTATTTCACATATTATGCCATCCAGAAAACATAGAGACCAAAGACAAGAAATGATGCTCACTAAAAATAGAGGAGGTAAGCTTGGGATAAAAAGCTAATGGGACCAGCAGTAAGCATAATGGCTATGTCGCTGGACTCCCACGTGGTCGACCGTGGTTCAAGTCTCGGACCTGGTGACTTAAACTCACGCTGGGTGCGTGTGTGTTTGTGCCCAAGATCCCGAGAGGAGAATGGAGGAGAAGGGACTGCAGCATAGCCATCCCCCCTGGGGGGGGGGGTGATTTCTCGCTTTCTATCTCTCTGTCTCTCTCTGTCTGTCTGGTGAGTGCATGCACCCTATAGCAAAAACCTCTCCAAAAAAAAAGCTAATGAGAGCTGGCCCCACTTCCGGTTCTGGAGGGAGCACACACACCCTATAGCAAAAATCTCTTAAAAAAAAAAGAAGCGTGGCGATCCCACAGTTCCAATCGTGGACCTGGTGGCCTAAAAAGCATGCTAGGCAAATGGACTCAGCTGCCCAAAATCAGGAGAGGAGAAATGGAGAGAACGGATTGTGGCATGGCCATTCCCCCGTGGAGGGTGATTTCTCATTTTCCCTGTGTCTGTCTGTCTCTCTTTAGAGAACACATACGCCCTACAGCAAAAAAATAAAAAAGAAATTTTTTTCCAGCCATGTCCCTAGAGAAGTGGAAGGTCTTTATACCTCCGATTTGTTATTTTGGTAAGGAAAAGGAATTTCAAGACTCCACTATGATTTGCTCTACTGGGAAAGTCACTAACACACAATGCAGTCGTGAATCTGTCATCTTGGCTTTTCCTGTTTACTTTGCTATGGAAGAGAAATATCGAGACCGGGTAAATAAAACAAAAGCACTTATCTGGGCCAGGGTTAAAGATGACTGGCCACGGGGAGGTGTGTCCTGGCATGTTCAGTGACCAAGGCGACCAAAGCTATGCTCTAAACCTCATCTTCTAGACCCCCAAAACACTCAGACAAGGGGAGGATAGGTTTAGTCATAGAATGACCAGAAACCACTGCTGAGGCACAAGAAATATGAGAAACTAAGACAATATCTCTCCCCTAAGAGAAAAGAACAATCCTTCACCATCCACACAGTACAGAGGAACTTGTGGAAATGTCTGTTAGAGAATTCAGAATATTCATAGTGAACCTCCTGCTTTAAGGAAGAAACTTCTTTTTATAAATCTGAACTCATAATCTCTTTCTGTGGATACCATGTTGCAAAACATAGTAGAGAAGAGATTTTTGTCACAAAATTGCCAGAAAGCACCAAAGAGGCACAATAAACATGAGATATCAAGACAATGTCTCCCCTAAGTGAAAGGAACAATCCTTCATCATGCACACAGTACAGTAGAGCTTGTGGAAATGTCTGATAGAGAATCCAGAATATTCATAGAGAAAAATGTAACAAGATGCAAGAGCTGAAAAGACAATGAACTCCAGAAGGTTCAGGAGAAAGGAGACAGTGAGTTCCAGGAAGTGAGGCAGTTCTTGTACAATCTGTACAAACGTTTCTAAATCCCCTCTTTTCTATGCACTTTTTTAATTAAGAGGGTGGGGTCCCAGGTGGGAACCCCCCCACAATAAAGTCTCAATCTTTGGAGAAGAAAAAAAAAAAAAGAATGAAATGGATCTGTGAGAGATGAAGGCTGCAATACAGGAAATCAAAACCTCACTTGAAAGTATTAAAAGCAGATTAGTCCATGCAGAAGATCGAATCTTGGAATCTGAGATGTAGAAGACAGAACCTCTGACCTAGAGAAATTCACCAAAAATACTGAGAAAATAACCCCCCAAAATGAGAATACTATATGAGAAATGCTAGAAATATGCCCAAACATCCAGATAATCAGTATCCCAAAAGGTGAAAAAACTAATAAGGGAATTGATAATTTATTCCATGAAATCCTAGAAGAAATCTTTCCAAATCTAGAGAGGCATTCAAATATCCAAACCCAAGAACTAGAAAGTACCCCTAAGAGAATCAACCCAAGAAGATCTTCTCCAAGACACATTATAGCCAGATTGACCAAAACCACAAAGACAAGATACTAAGATTGGCAAGAGAGAAACATCAGGTTACTTAGAAAGGTATGGGACCAGCAGTTAGCGTAATGTCTATGTCTCTGGACTCCCATGTAGTCAACCACGGTTCGAGTCCCGGACCCGGTGGCTTAAAACTCATGCCAGGCACATGTGCGTGCTTGTCCAAGATCCTGAGAGGAGAATGGAGGAGAAGGGATTGCAACGTGGTCGTTCCCCCTGGGGGGTGATTTCTCACTTTCTGTCTGTCTGTCTCTCTGTCTGGTGAGTGCACGCACCCTATTAGCAAAAAACTTCTCAAAAAAAAAAAAAGAAAAGGTTATCCCATCAGGCTAACATCAGAACTCTCATCAGAAACAATGCGAGCAAGGAAAGAATGGGAAAATATATTCAAAGTGTTAAGTGAAAAACAGTCTCA